AATAAAAATATTGCAAAAAATGCTGTTAGAAGTGATTTAATATATGATAATAATATATTAATTATATGATTATAATTACATATGATAAAAATATGAGAAACATATGAGAAATAATAAATATATAATAAATATAAAATAAATATATAATAAAAGAATAGGCGATTTTTTTAAAACATCGCTACTTTTTTTGATTTCACGTTACACCTGATCTTACGATCTTATTGGTCGATCAGGTAGGTGCATTACAATGCATATGCACTAAATTATAAAACTCTAAAGAAATATTATATTCATAACACCGTATTATTATTACATCCTATATGTCTTACTTAGAGTTAAGGTCAGGTTTTAAGATACATAGAGATTTTTATTATACAATATATATTAGACATAAGGTCCTAATAGATTCTAATTTCAGTTTTTATAAGATTTTCAGAGGCACTGATCATTTTTACTTAGAGTATCTACATCTATTTACTTAGTATATTTTTGAGATATTGTAAAAGGTGTTATATAACACAATGTTATGAATATAACTTTCTATAATAAAAATATAATTAAAAGGATAATTATTTTTGGTTCAGAGGTGCACTATGTGCAGGTATCACAAGTAGTTATATGAATCTACAAGATAAGTATATTTATCTATATTATTTTATAGTTTTAAATTATTTTATCTGGTTTATTTTTTTTAAATAATATTGTTTTGCTATACCATCATTTGTGTGGTCACATTTTTCCTTGGTATTGTCATTTTTTGGAGCCATCATTTCTCTGGTGCTGTGTTTCTTTGGAGTCATTATTTCGTTAATGTTGTCGCATTTTGGAGCTGTCATTTCTCTGGTGTCAGATTTCTTTAGAGATGTTTCATTGGTGTCATCATATTTTGGAGCTGTCATTTCTCTTGTGTCATGTCTCTTTGGAGTTGTCATTTATTGGTGTTATTGCATTTTGGAGCCATCGGTTCTCTGGTGTTGGGTCTCTTTGAAAAGGTTTATTGGTGTCATTGCATTTTGAAGCCATCATTTCTCTGGTGTTGTGTCTCTTTGGAGTCATCATTTCGTTGGTATCATCGCATTTTTCTCTGATATTGTTGATTTTTAGAGCCATCATTTCACTGGTGTTATTTTGGTGTCGTTGTATTTTGTTTTCTTGATTGTATTAATGTTCTTTTCTTTTTTGGTGAATTTCACTTGTCTTTGTTTGGAATTGGGCTTAAAGTTTAGGTGGGTATAATTTTTGTCTTGTTATTTGACTTTTTATTTTTTTGTTTGTATTAATATTCTTTTTTTTTGGTAAATTTTGCTTGTCTTTGTCAAAAATTGGGTTCTGATTTGGGTGTGTATACTTCTGTAGTTGTTGTTTGTTTTAGTTTTCTTGGTCTTGGTTATACTGACAATATTCTTTTTTTTCTGGTAAGACCAATTTAGATGATATATTATCAGTATTTATTATCTTAGTTTTATTTTCCTGTTATACTAACATCTTCTTTTTGATGCCTTTTGCTTATATTGTTTAGAATTGTGCTTAAAAGCAGTTAGATTTGGTAAGTTGGGTTGGTTTCTTCTGGTAAGTATTTTTCTGTTGTATTATATTTCTTCACCAATACTTTATTAACTTAAACTTTCTATTCATTAAAACCAAAACTAATTTGGTATATTGAATGGCTAGAACAATTGTATGAGGTATATACTACTTACAGCTGTTTTTATAATTTCTCAAATGATTTTTGGCCAATCCAGTTAAATTATTATTTCAGCATAATAATAATAGATTCTATAACTAATAAAAATTGATATATACATATGTACATATGCATGTTGTGATGGTGAAATGTGTCCTAGCCAAAGTTAAGAAAACATGATTCAAGCTATATGATTTGGGACCCAAAATGCGGATTGATTGCCAAAGTGAAGGCATTTAATAATACTAATTTGGGTTTGGCTTGAGGTGATACTTTATTAAGAACAGTAGTAAGGCGTTGCTGGTATTCATATAGTGAGAACTAAAGTTATTGTTATATAAATGAATATGAATTGTTTATCGTTAGCTATAGATCCTCTGATGCTCTAAATAGCTATATTACTTATAATGATTTTAATCATAGTAGAAACCCTAATGTTGTTCATAATGTATAGTAAAGGGAGCAGATAGATAATAGATAAATAAGAATCATAATTAAATAAAAACTATTTAATCTAGGGATTCTAGTGGTAGTAGGATCCTTGGTTCATGAACCAAATCTTCTATATCCTTTTTTAAGTAGTCTTTATTTTTGGTTGTTTTTTGACAGTAAAACATATCTTTTAGACGTAGTACCATTTTTCACTGTCAATTTTTTATTAAATCTATTATTATTATGCCAAAATAATAATTTAACTGGATTGTCC